AGGCAATACATATTTGCCTACAAACTACGCTCCTTAAAGTTTATTAATTGTTAATTAATTTGTAATACTTTGCCATTCATTGGACATGTGGCACAAAGGACAAATCAGGTACAAAATTCTAATTTCACTCTCTAAAATAGTATTTTAATCATTTGGACTGAATTTGTAAAGGATTAGTAACCTCAGGGGAGGTCAGTGTAATTGTTCAAACCACAGGGGAGGTAAGTGTAAATGTCAGAAACCTCAGGGGAGGTTTCTGAAATTATCCCTATTATTTATATTATCTTTTTCTAGTGGTGAATGGTAACGGCGATTGTTAGGGTGTGAATCGAAATTGAAATCGATAATTCGAAATTTTGAAATTGAAATTTTTTGAAATTTTGATATTGGAATTTTCGATCGATTTCGATTTTGAATTCACCAATTTCGAATTTGAATTCGTTCCGAATTCAATTCAAAATTTGGTAAATTCCAATTTCACTGAATTCATGAATATAAAAATTATTATTATTATTATATAAATATTATATTACACATATATAAAAAAATTATATATGTGTGTGTGAAAACAAAATTGAAATCGAAATAGGAAATCCGATTTTATCGAATTCATGAATATAAAAATTATTATTATAATATAAATGTTATATAATATATATATCATATATATATATATACATATATATGAAAAACATATTTGAAATCGAAATAGGAATTCCGATTTTGATTTCGAATTGTGAATTCGAAATAGGAATTTCCGATTTGAAAAATCTCATTACCGAATTCAACGAATTCTAAATCGAATATTTCGATTTCCATTCTAAATTATCGAAATTCCAAATTTAATTCGAATTTGGTCGGTAAATCAGAATTTTTCGATTTTGTACACCCCTAGCCATTGTGACGAGGAAAGATCACGCCACGCACATCTCATTGCTCTTCATTGCTCCCCACTTCTATTTGAATTTATATTTATATTTATTTTAATATGAATTATCATTTAAAGTTATATTTGACTAATTAAGTTGCATTTGTTAAAAAATCATCAAATTGCATGAATTTTTTAAATTGTTGTATTCTTTGATGTTTTGTTAATGTAACGAACAAGATCATTTAAAACTAATTTCATCTTCTTATAAAGAAAAAGACTATCGCCGCTGCTTAATGTTGTGTACATTTTTCTATTTCTAATTTATTCATATTAAAATATTTGGCAGCATTTGATTTTGTGTTCATATATTTTTGTTATCAATTTTATTTTATTTCGTTTATACCTTAATATGTGTTTTTTATTACAATTAATTTTTTCCTTTCTTAATCAAAGGAATGCATTAACGTATAAATGACAAAAATATGTGTATCTTTATTATATTTCACTAAAATGCTCTTTGTTGTTGTTTTCATGGTAACGGTTAGATTTGCATTTTTTCTTATTTTCTATGCTATTAGATTATTGAATTATTCAATAAAGCTTATATTTATTATAAGTTCTAATTTGGTGAGAAAAACGTTTTTCCAAACTTATTGCATTATTAGATTATTCAACAAGTTAGCTTATAGATTGCTTGATTCTCCTATTTTTCCTTTGCTTTGCTTGTAATAAGTCCTAAGTCATATAATGCAATCATTTTTCAATTACCTAATCAGATTAAATACTTGCATTTTCTTCAATGTTAGGTTGTCTTTCACAAAAAAAAGTCATCCTTTCGATGAATTTATCAATTGTACTTCATCTGTTTATAACCATTAGATTGAAAGACAAAGTACTAGCTTAATTTAGCTTTTATAGACTATATTTTTAGATGAAATTATTATCAACAAACTAACCTCGAACAGTACAGTGCAAACCCTTACATACACTACCAATTTTTATTGTGCATCATTTTCTTCCTGATTTATTTTATTGTCATTCTCGCGTAGCAGAGGGAAAGCTTTCTTCCCTTTATTGTTTTCTCATATTTGGTAATACAATTTTTCTTATTTTTTACTTCAGCAAATCTATGCATTTACATCTTGTTGTAGTAACACATACTTTCTTTTGCATGTTTTCTGTTTTCCTTTTGTGGCATTACTTTCAGTACTCAAAATTTTTGCTTTGTCTGTCACTTTACTCCAAGTTAGTCATTTCATTTATAACTAGAATGCCTAATGTTTGATAAAATACTGGTTAAGTTTCGTTCATAATCATGAGTTTCATAAGTAAACTATTACTAGTTGCTTAGTATTGAATTATATGCAGTGTATAACTTGTGATTGGAAACTTTGGTGATGAACACTGAATCCGATTAAAACTCAAGTTAATTTGTCAAATATAACTTGAAATAATCATGTAAATGATACTCAAATTGAATTATATCTCTCCAAAATTTAGAGTTTGAAAAGTCTATTAAATTATTTCAGCTTTATATTATTGCATATATAAATAAATGGGATGTAATTTCAAAAGCAAAAAAAATGTTTAAAATTGAATACAACTTATTACAAAAATAAAGATTATTATTGCTACCAAATGTACTGTACATTATTCTCTTTTACTTTTATTCATTAATAATAAATTAATATTTAACGACATTTTAAATTATCTTAAAATATTTAAACCAACTGAAATTGCTACCAACCATAATATACACTTTTCCTATCTATTTCATTGTGTTTTATTTATGCGTTAATACTTGCTTTTTATTACAATAAATTTTTTCCCTTTATTAACCAAAGCAATGTATTAAAATGTTCTTTCAATTTATAAACAATCCTTCAAACTTTGTTACCCTTGAACATTTTAGGGTGGGCATTGCACAGCCAGACCTTACTAGCATTATAAATATATAAATATTCTCAATTGATGCTGCTAAACAACTAGAGGGGTAGCCCACAGCCCGCGTGAAAAGATTAGTGCACTTCAGTCACATAATACATAGCACAACCAAAGGTACAACTCATGCAATTTCCCATTAGAATCCTCGTCCTGGTTTATTTCGAGGCACCATCCATATTTGTGATGTACTATACTACATCTATTCTGCTTCGCCAATACCACAAACAACAACAAACAACAATAGAAGACGGACCCGAAATGATAGTACACGCTAGACGTCAGAGCATACAGCTACCAAGTGACGGTGATACTACATCTAGTTTATGGCCGAGTAGCTATATTCATCCTCTGCAACAGGCTTAGAGAAGACGGTCAAGACAACGAAGGTCCCAAACAATATCGTGACAAGGGCCGTGAAGTTGACCAGGAATGCTTCAGCCCCATATTTCTCTAGGCCTGAGTTCTCAAGGAATGTAAGCTTCTCAAGGTACCCTAGTGAGGCATTCCCAACTGCCAAGATGTACACAAACAGCCCAAACACCACGTGCCATGGAAGTGACCCTTGCCTGATTTCTGATGAGCCACCGGGGTAGAAGAACACCAGGAAACCATAAATCCACTGCAACAAAATGTCAACAATAAACAAACAAACAAACAAAGCATCAAATGGTTATTTCCAGGACCGAGCAAAACTGGCGGAATGCTCTTGCAGACTTCGAGAGTTCTACACACAACAGCCAAGCTGTAAGACAGATTGAGTAACAAATTACGATTACAGTCCACTAATTCTTTCCAGGCAGAACATTGTCCAAATACAATGAGGTCTAGAAGCAAGCAACCCCCCCCCCCCCTTTTGCTTAATTCATACTAGAATGTCACCACCATTCAAGCTCAAAGAGAACAATGAGGTGTAGCACTAGACGAGCCAGCAAAGCAAGGCCTCCATAGTTGGAAATATATTTGAGTAATCTACTCTGATACTTTTGAGGGCGTGGAGAGAAAATAAACCAAAGAAAAGAAAAAATGCGAGCAAGAGCTTGAGATAATTATTGAAAGATAGGAGCCGAGAGAATTAATAGAGCAAAAAATGTTAAAGGTATAATACACGATGATTATCGACAACAACCAGTGTAGTGCAGGAGAAGAATTCAAGCTTGAAGTTACCTGGATGCCATAGAGAACAATAATCCCAATTCCAAGCCAAGAATGTAAACTATACAAATTGACAATATTGCTCTCGTTATGAAACTTGAATGCCGTGTATATCCCGATGATACCAAGTATGAGGGCAATAGCATGCAAGACTAGATGTATCAATTTCTTCAGTTCCTTCCTCAAGGGAAGAGTTTTATAAGTAATAATGGCTGCATTAAAAGAAAATGGGAAGATGAAGAGAACATCATAAAGGCTATTCAATACCCAAGAAAATAAAAAGGAAGAAGAAGAAGAGGGGGAGTACTTATCTTGATAAGACATATAACTTACCTTCACCCCCAATTACAATCAAGCCAAGGAGCATGAGAACAGGATGAATCTGGAAAAGAACAAACAAAAACCATAATTAAACCTTAAGCAAAATTTCGTTCAATGACATTCCATGCTTACATTGGCAAGAATAACCTCAAAATCTACCCTGCCGTGTAACTCATATCTTAAAAGTGAATTACCAAACCTCAACTAGACCCAAATTACTCTTATCAGATGACAGCAATCAATGTGAAGGGACCACATAAAGATCACTTTATGAAATGCTCCTATAACAGACAGGACAAAATGTCTTAGTCCCTTCACAGATGTCACTGATAAACTTCCAGTCGTCTTAATCTATTTAGAGAAAAGCATATGGACACTTCAAAATGCAACCACCGTTTCATACCTCCAACAGAACTTTTCCGTTGGCTCCATTTAATGCCGTTTATTTCCAACCACACCCAGCCAGTGTGCCTCAAGATTTAATTCGAAAGTCCAAACCTAGATAGCTACCTATCTTGAACATCTTTCTTTGAATGAGCTTAAGGAACAATTAAGAGTTCAAGACATGCCATCGTACTAAAACAAATTAGTAGAGCATATGTTTGAAACTTTAATTTCTGACTGAAAAAAAAAATCATTAGAAGCGGTTTAGATATGCCAAACTTTGCTCAAAATCAAATGGAAAGATCCACGCACAAACAGCCCTTTATCCTTTTTTTTTTGGGTATAATCCACAGGTATCCGTATCTGCTGTTTTACGGTCTGTGATTAATTCTATCCGAGCAGCGTCAGACCCCTTGCAGGGAAAACTCTCCTAACGTTGTCTTTTGTATTACTAAGGGTTTCGAACCCGAGACCTCGTGCTAAGAGATACAAGCTCCTTCCGCTTGCACCAACATCCGTTGGTACAGATAGCCCTTTATCAATATCCACATGGTACAAGTCAACACATTGATGGACAAGTCAAGCTTTCCGCAAGAAGAAAGGAAGGTTGGCCATGTGAAGATCTAAAAAATAAATTGGTAAACAATCAGTCAACCACCAAATCCCAAACAATCGCAACATCTACCAACCCACCCAGTTGCTAGCGTTAGCAGGATGACATATTTTGGACTTGTATTTTCCTATTTCAACCAAGAAATAAAACTCATAAAAATAAGTAAGTGTTTGGTTGCATAACGATCGGATTTTTAAGCCAATCCCATGCGGCATATATCCATCAACTAAAGAGACGCAGCTCATGGCGGAGTTGATACCTGAATGGCTCTTATATTGTTGTCCAGCTATTGTATGTCTTCCCGTGAGCATAAATGTTTCAAGAATCAATACTCCTGGTCTTATAATTTTGAAAAGGTCCAAAAGTAGAATGTGCAGTGCCACGGAGAATCAACGAGAAGAAACAGAGAGGTGGATGTCAAAAGTACCGAATACCACATGAAAAGTATGGCTCCATTCTCGGCCTCCCTCCCTCCATCCCCGAATCATGGTGTACAGATAGAGGTACTAATCCACAACTAAAAGCTCAAATTCAACATGTCTTAAACATTCCGCCGGACCGATACAAAGGTATACCCAAAGCTTAAAGCTTGAAAAGTGACAACAGAGAGTAATCAAACCTTAAGTCTCGAGGGTTTGGTGCGAGCATATTCATGTAGCAAAAGAAAAGTCTAAATCTAACGGTCCTAAAAAAAAAAGAAAAGAAAAAGGGTAGACGGGAAAATAGATGAAGAGAAAAGGGGAAAATAATAAGTGACAAAACTAATCGTTTCGACAAATTTAAAAAAAAAAAAAAAAAAAAGATAAGTGACAAGAGGTACATACATTGAAGATGAGACTCTTGTTGGCGGATTCCCAAGCTAATCCACCCCTGAAGCTTATGTTCCATATCAGCACCATAATAATCCCCGCAACCCCGAGAACTTGGGCTACCACAGCAAAAGGCACCGCCTTTATCCCAATCGCCATCCCTCTCTAATTTTGGTTCCGGAAAGAAGTGGGATTTCCTGATAGCTAAAACGTTACTCAAAAATTCAAAATGAACTGGCTCTTTTATCAGCCATTAACATTTGATATGATAGAGAGAGACGGAGAAGAAGAAGAGAGGGCGTCCCCGCTCCTGAGCGGCGAGTGTTGGTGATGGGTCCTCTTACGTGCAGTTGTTACTGTACAGGAGGATCTCAATTCTGTTTATTCGACTGAGGTGAGAAATCGTCGCTTCGACTTTGATTCAGAAAATTTTGGTGGGTTGTGGGGATTTGCGTCGCCAAATACTAGCGTACCGTATCAATGTGTAGTGGCGTGTGGTTGTATAACGTGGGTCGGGTTCCACGTGTGAAAAGGCGATAGGGATGAGGATTGAAGTCTACGTGGTTATTGGATGTTTAATCGTCGTGTCTCATGTTCCTACTCCTAGTATCATAAGTACTTATTTGCTTTGATTGGTGACTGCTTTTCCTCCTCTTTCTTTTCTTTTGTTCGTTTTCTTTCTTTCCCCATCATATTCAATTCCCACTGACTGAGGGACTTTCTAGTACTACGTACCCGTTGATTATTAATGCAACAATAATAGTCGGAGTAATATACAAATACAACAACAACACCGCCTAATAGCACATTGGAATGCTTATTCATTTGCCAATTAACATAATCACAACAGAAAATAACACATTGGAGTTCCAGGATCACGTTTCATGCTCATGGTAGTTTGTCCTGAAGGGATTAGGTTAGACTTAATAAAATTGGTTGTCTCCCGGTTTCAGCTATTTATTGTTTTTACAAAATAAAAAAGTCCCTCAAAAAAAAAAAAGTTTTTAAACGAAAAAAGCGGATGAGGTAATCTCTGACGCAAATGTTTCAATTATGTGGACCTCAGTCAGTAATTATGATGATGGGAGCATCCAAAAGATCTCTAATGCAAATTCTCTCCGCATTCATCCTATCTGCCTCCGGTGTGGTCACTCTACTACATTGGATTCGTCTCGAGTCTGGGGGGTTTTCAACACCCCGTACCAATCCAGTCTTGAACCGCAGCACGACACCTCGCTGCGCTGTAAATCGAGCGACAACTTGCCTACAAAATTCCGATCGCATTTGATATGTGTGTGTGTGTGTTTTTTTTTTATGTTTATCTAAAATTTTATAATAATTTATTGAAAAAATTATAGAAAATTTTTTTGAAACATATAAATTTTTAGATGTTTTGAAATGTATAACTTAAAATTTTTTAAAAAATTTTTAAAATTATTATAATTAAAATTATTAAAAAACTTATAGAAGAGAAACTTGGCCAAAACCTTGTTTGTCAAACAAAGCCTCCGTTACTCGAATAAGTCCGGAGCGCGTTACCTTTCAACTCGAAAGTGAAGATGGAACTGGAATCTTCTTTATTCTCCAAATATCAAGTGAATTGTCTGTTTCTTTTTGTCAATCAATTAGCTGAATTCCCAGCAAATAAAGAAACCCCGTATCCTTCTCATACCGACGACCATATGCGTAATTTTCAAAGCAGCGTAGTGCTGCATTGTCACTTTCAGCCAGCGATGATTGGCGTCTTCTGCAGCCACTGGCAACCAAAGGCCACCCGACTCAAAACACGAGAGAGAGGCCGCTTCAACTAAAATGCAATTTAAGTTTGTCATTAATGCCGTACCCAGAAGCAAATTACCCGACTATTGAATCAATCAGACATTTGATCAGCCGGAGTGTAATCGGGCCAGATGACTTCAACTCCACTCTCGAGTTGGCAAATGCTAAATATATTAAATCCGTATAATACACATCCATGCTCATGCTAAACCCTAGACTCGTCGAGACCAGAGAGCCACGGATCCTGGCACGAAGCTCGCGCTGTAAGGTTAAATTACCGAGTGTAGATATTAAACCAAAGTCAAAAGTTCGGAAAACTCAAAAGAAACTGGTTGAGCAGCGCGCATTGATTTCGTTTTAGGCCACCAGCTTTTAAAAATTCCAAATCGTAATAATTACTCGTAATCCAATATGCCATTTTCTCTGGATGTTTATATTTTAGTACATTAATTAATCATTATGGTCATCCAATAAAATGTAGCATTCATTATAGTTAGGAGATAAGAGTTAGTACAATACTACTACTGTTATTTGCAAAGCCATTTCGTGGGGTTAAATTGTTCATAAATGAATAATTTCGAAGCTGTTTCTTTCTTTCTCATTTTCTTTGCCATCCATGCTTTTTCTCCTGCGTCAACGTAGAAGACCTTTTGCAAGGAAGAAGATGCGATCATCTGAACTGAAACCCGTACTTTGGTGAAATATCATTAGGAAATTAATACTTCAAGGCTGCTTTGATTATGTGCATTCTGCAAAACGCACCAGTTTTATCACTCGTTCAGCCATATCCAATTACAATTTACAACTCCGTCTTACTAATATATTTACGTCTTAAGCGGCATACGTTCTCCCTTGCACGTACATGTACACATGAGATGGCACGTGCATTCACGTGAACAATTTAATAGACACTACTATTCTCTAGTGTTAAAGATTCTTTTGTCTCATCTTTTATCTCACTCCCCATCTCACCTTTCATTATATTATCATTTTTTCTTCATAAACATTCTATTTCAAATGACTAACAACAGGGTAACCAACAAATTATAAATGACTAAAAAAAGTAAAATGCCAGAGTAAAATAAAATTTTTATGAATTTTCTGTTGTATTTTTTGTTTTTTGGATCATATACCCGCAAAAATGCGTTGTACCATAAGGCCCGTTACAGCAATACTTCATTCCATTTTGCTGCCAATGAAAAGTTGGGACATAGCCATTACGTTGACACCTTCCCCAGTGACAATAGGTTGCCAGCTTTAGCCCCCACCACCGACGTTCGCGCACTGTTCGGGGGCTGCCTTTCTTCTTTTTCTAATTTATTTTTGTTGTTTTACTATAACTTTTGGCTTCTGCAGCTGTGCTGGTGTATTGTGGCAACTCATATGTAGGAGCCGCTCGACTTTCAAGCCACAAATAGACATTTTAAGCACTCTGTCGTCAGATGACTCGTAAGAAAGCTCTACTTTGGAACCAATTAGAACTTAGAAATCAACACGCAAAACAGTTGACTTAAGATGATCAGCAGCAGCACAAGAAATAATCTTACAGCCCTCTACGTCAGTACCACGTGAAGGCAAATAAGGAAATGCTCAACAAATAATTTAAGTAGTTTTGTACCTTAGATCTTTTTGGTAACACTGTGCATGAAATTTGAGTGCCATTGGGATACATTATTGTGTGTTTGTAAGCAGACGTATTGACTTTTCATAATGTTGCTTCTAAAATTTCAGGCAATGCAAGCCATTACATTTTATTCCAGCATTTGACTCCTTGTTTCCAACTTCCGCCCTTTTTTCATTTTTATTTTTTTTTTATGGAGGTGTGGAGTGGAGCGGAATTATACGTGCAAACTTCCACCCAAAGAATAGCATCTGACCTCTTAACTCAAAGGATCGCGCACAGTTCTATTCACGGTACAAGAATAACATAAAGGGAGATAATCAAAGTTACACTAACCTGACAGTTGGGGAAAATGTTCAAATCTGCAACATGGAGAAGTGAAAGGAAGATCAAAGCTGTCTTCAAAATGCAGTTTCAGGCAACACAGGTATGTTTTCAAGAAAGTGTAAACAGATTCTTCTACTTTTCTGTTTCTGTCACATCTTGGAGAAGAAGTTCTTGTTTGACTGTATTCTAAAAATCTCACCATCCTTGCTCAATTTTGATTAATATTCTCAGGTGCCACGTCTAAAAGCAAAAACGCTGGCGATTTCTTTGGTTCCAGCTGATGTCGGAAGGCCATCAGTGAGATTAGGAAAATCTTCAATTCGTGAAGGAACCTGTTCATGGGAAAGTCCTGTATATGAGACTGTGAAATTAGTCAAAGAGACAAAAACAGGAAAATTCAGAGGGAAAATCTACCATTTCATTGTCTCAGCAGTAAGTAAATACAATTTTCTCTCTCTATTTTCTCTCTCAAATGGAAATCTTTCACGAATTACCCACATCCTTGCAGGGATCATCCAAAGCAGGTCTCCTGGGAGAAGCATCAATTGATTTTGTGGATTTCTTGGAAGCCACATATCCTGTAATGGTATCTCTACCCATTGAAGCGACAAATTCAGGTGCAATTTTGCATGTGAGTTCTCTCTCTGTGTTAACATGCCACAACTACCACTTTCAATCGCTGTTATGATGAGAGCCTGTGAAATCTGATGATATCAGCACAATTCCCAGATCCCACACCACAAACAAATCCATGCAAACATGACCGTAACACTAAGCTCATATACTATAGCACATAAGAATTCCACGCACCATTAAACATTGTGTCCATGACAGGTTACCATTCAGAAGCTGGAACGAACTCTTGATGAAAGGTATGCACATCATCTTGTCTTCCACTTGAAAATTTATTTATGAAGTCAGATTAGAGAGTGCTTCACCTTGGAAATGCAGATATATAGAGGAAAACGAAAGCCCAACGACCAATTATCACAATGGGATTTTGGAGATGCAACTTCTAGACTCTGAAAACTCACAGAAGACAAACCTTGAATTTACTGAAGTAAGGTCTCAAATACTCCAACCCGTCTAAGGTCACATAGTGACAGAGAAACATATAAGAATAGAGAAGTTAAAACTTCAAAATCATCAAACTGGAAAGAAAGGAAAAGTTATCTTTTCCACAATGTCAAGCTCATAAGAGCTTAGATAATTTGCGCATCAAATATTTGATTGTGATATGAGGTCACTTTGATTGAATAAATGTTGCTCTACGTTGACATCAAGTTTATGAGTTTGATAAATAAAAACTACGTAGTTGGGAATTCCGAATGTCGCTCAATCATGCTGAGGTCCAGTTTAAGAGTATAAGCAAAACCATTTGTTATCTAAAATTTCCATTATTCCACAGGGGGAACAACCCAACAGAATAACATCTCAATACCCAGAGCAAAATGGCAGTGTTGAGGATACTCGATTTGACGATGCTAGTGCTTATCGGGTATGCTTGACTACTGCAGATAACACGCTTGAAAGGGTCTCCTTGGATGCTGATCCCCCAGGACATGTGTACCAGAGATACTCAGATGGGTTACTCAAGGACACTTCAGATGAAAGTGTAATTGACACTACGACAAGTCTACAGGAGAAATACGCAAGAGACAGAATACAAGAAGCTTCTAACGATGTTGGAAGGCTGAACACTAGAATCAAAATGTTGGAAAGGCAGGGGGAAGTTTCAGAACTGGAATTACAATCCCTAAGAAGGCAAATGGCAAAGGAAAGCAGGAAGGTAAAGGAATTATCGGAACAAATTGTTGCCCTGAAAAGCGAAAGGGATATACTGAAAAAAGAATGTGAGCAACTCAAGTCTTCACCAAAAGGCATAAATCAGGAGGAAATCTCAAACAACTCAGGCACGGAAACCAAAAATGTCAGTGAAATATCTGAACAAATCAAGCAACAACTACACCGTGAGAAGCATTTAAGTAAAAAGTTGAGGTCTCAGCTTCAGAAGACAGAAGACTCAAATTCAGAACTGATTCTTGCTGTAAGAGACCTAAAAGAGGTCTTAAGTAGAAAAGATAAGGAAATAGCTCATCTGGCAGGCCAAATACAGGCCAACCAAAATGAAGTAACATTAGAACTTGAAGAAACTCATGAAGAGCACAATAAAGCGGATGAAGTAGAACTCCTGAAACAGGAAAGAGCGAATCTATTTGCTGAAATGGAGATCTCCAGGAAAGAAAAAGAAGAACTAAAAAAGTGCATTCAACAGTTTACGTTGGACAATGAGAATCTAAAGAAGGAAAAGGCAGCTGTTTACTCTGATTTGGAGCAAAAACAGGGAGCAATGATGGAAATACAACATGAGTACTTGCTTTCCACAAGAACTGTGAAGCAACTCAAAGAGGAAACCAAAAACCAGGCAATACTGTACTCAGAATATTTGACTATAATAGATGAGCTCAAAACCAAAGTTCAAAGTCTGGAGGAAGAACTCGAGAAGGAGGCAAAGTATTTTCAAGATAACTTGACAGCAGAGGGCAGGGCCATGGTTGAGCAGGAACAAAGGGCCATACAAGCAGAGGAAGCATTAACAAAGGCTAACTGGAGTAATACCAAAGAAACAGAGCATCTTAGGGAAGAGCTCAAAAGAAAATCTGAAGAATTGATATCCAAGATCGATGAGAATGAGAAACTAACTGCACAGGCAGTTGCCGAAGGCAACCAACTTCGTATGCACAGCAAATTTCTTGAGAAATTACTTCAGAAAGCGAATGATGAGATCCAACTAAGCAAAAATGAATATGAAAGAAAACTCCTAGATCTTTCGAAAGGAATCCATCTGGAAGCACAAAGCATGGGGATGGTATCACAAAGAGTTGATGGTGCCAAAGCAAATGATGTGAAAGCAAACAATAGGGAGGATGGAAGGTTAAAACACGAGAAATCTGCACACTCTCAAGCAAGATATGAGATAGGCACAATGATAAATGACAAGGAGCAAAGGAAGAGGGAATATGGTGACTCAAAGATGCTGCAGAAATGGACTGAACAAAAAGAAGAGTTGGAAAGAGAACTTCTTCTGGTGAAAATGGAAGCTGAAAAGTTAATAGAGGAAAATATTACCTTGAGGAATCTGATTGATGAGAAGAGCAAAAGAGATGAGATCTTACATCCAGAGGTGGAAAAACTAGTAATTCAGTATCATAAATCGAAATGTTCTTCACAAGAAATGAAGTTGGAGAATAGGGACTTGAAGAAACATGTGTCCAAACTACAGGTAGACCCAAATAAGAAGAAGGTAAAGATTAGCACAAATAGAGAACTAAATAGGAGTAGATGTGGACTTATTCAAATGTTTAAGCATGTACACAATGTGAATGAATCAACTAGGTACATAATCATAAATAGGTACAATGAAGACAATAATTGAGCGTGAACCATGACTTAATTAGTAGCCAAAAAGATGAAGACTGCACAGTAAACAGCACATATGCATCATAAATAGGTACAATGAAGTTAAGAACCATAGCTATATAAAATTCCTTACCGCAAAGTAGAGCACTAAGGCATCTGATATAGGTTCACAACCACACAACCACTGTTTAACATATTATACTTTATAACTTATTTGATTAGGTTGCATTGTATTCCAACAAGTGGTTTGAATAACTAGCAGATAACAGGCTCTAACAACCCAAAATTGAGATTCTTACTATTTTATCCATTTGCTGAAAGTAATTAGCATGTACCAAGTATTCACATTTATTTGTATGTATTCTGGCCTTGTTTTACAACCAACGTACAAAACTGCAATCTGCCAATTTTTAAATGGCAGAAATGATGTTGCTATATACACTGGAGAACAGCAGAATCAAAGTAAGGATGCATCTATTAGATCTATTCAAACAGATTATTATCTTGGTTACTTCACAACTATGCCAGAAGTATTTTTTGCTTTTGTTTATGTGTGGACATACCTGATGCTTATATGGAAACATGCAAATTGGTGAACATATAGATAAAAACAAGTACACCCACACATACATACACCCATACACACACAGACACATATATGCACATAACTTCTAACTAGTAGCTAAAAGTTTGCTAAAGTGAAGGTCATGAAAATGTTCCTTCAGGTTTAAAACCTGGATTAAGAACTGCAGCCCATGGACTTCCAACAAAAGAGTTCTAAGTTATTTTAATAGTTTCCTATCAAAGAAGTAACCACTTTCTCAACGCAAGCATTGTCCAGGAAACTATTATCAATTGTTGGACAAGATTCTACCTGGGTCAATCAATTGCAGTCACAATCCATATATAGAAATCATAATTGCTTAATCAACCAGTCTGACATCCGCATGAGTAATTTCCATTATCTAAGGCACCAAAACATTAGTGCTTCTTCATACAGGATCTTGAGATATGTGGTAGTAATCCATGAATCAGAAGGTAACTAAGGGCACTGCTGATCTTGATGTACAGGAGACTAAACCAGTTAAGGATGTTGTCATGTGTGATAAAACACCTGAAGAAGGGATGCACAGTTTGGGCATGTTAAAAAGCAATGAGTCAGAAATTGCAAAATCTCAAAGGTAATTTGGCACAACTCATTGACCGCAAGATTTAAAGCTTTTTATCTGAGATAATTCTGCCTCCCACCATGCATTCATGAGTAAGACATGCAACTGAAGATATTGAACTACCTGTCTTTTCCACAGAGATCAAATTAGCTCACAAAGAGAGCTGAACCTGGGTAATCACCATGCCAACCACATTGCTGATCTGGCCGAATTTTCAAGCGAAGTAACTTTCCTAAAGGAACTGAACAAGCATATGGCACTTGAACTAAAAGAGATGCAAGAAAGATATTCAGAAATGAGTCTCAAATTTGCAGAGGTAGAAGGGGAAAGGCAACAACTTGTTATGACATTACGCAACCTAAAGAATGGAAAGAAGACATAGTGTTCTGTCATAGTAAGTCTTCTATGTAACTTATCCCTGAGTAAGAAACAATACTTAGTAGGACGCATCTACCAGTTTCTAGTCCAGGAAGTATGCATACTGAGGAACATTCTTTCAGCGTTTTCCTCATCTATGTCCATTTGCCTTAACAAACAGGGATAAAGCAATTCCCTAAACTAAATGCCTGAATGAGTTAGCTACAGATTTTTAAACTTTTCCTTCTAATATTCAACAAAATCAGGACATGCATCAGCATCAACTCCCAGAGACAAATTAGATCTGTACTTGCAGGTAAAAATTGTATAGTGTATTTAGAACTGGATATAGTATCAAAGATCAACTTAGATCACACTATAAAGAAAAGGACAAAATTTAGATCCAATTAAAGTCGGAATGAGTCTCGTTCTCTCCAACTCTCACAAACCAGTGGCTCAAAAAACCTAAAAGAAAATAAAATTCTTAAATAGATGATGAGCATGGGGAGCAGAGACAAGGATCAATCACCCAGTTTAAAGATAAAATTTTATCTTCTCAGAAACTTCCAGTTCCTTCCTTTAAACTCAATGCCATTAAGCATCTTATAGTGTCCAAGAAAACAATGGATGCTTCAACGGGAGGGTTGTACGAGGCCAAGGACCAAGAATGCTACTGAATTTTGAAATTAACTGTCATTCCTTTCTTTTACTGACCTTCTCAACTGAGAAACAAAATAAATGCAAAAGAAAAACACCAAGATAAAAGGAACCATACTTCTGCAGATTTGCCTCTGATAAGTGGGCCCTCTGCCAAACCCTGAGTTGGTTTTACCTAGGACAGAGTAGAAAGGTGTGCCAAACAAATGGTCCAACAGTTGAATCCAATGTATTCTGCAATTAACCTGATTCTAGTAACTGCTAGCACTGAGTACAGCATCTCTTCATTAGAGCTACACACAGGCTAAATGCCCCTCAACATTGTGATTCCTTAATAAGCTAACCTGTTGTCTAAATACCCGCATCCTGTCAGTACTCGCCATTGTCATAGTTGCTGCATAATTTTTCTGCTCAAAGTAGAAGAATTCTTATCACTCCAGGTAAGCTTACTCTGCCCTCCCTTACCAATTGTTGTGAAAGATAGAGTCTGCATCAGTTAACTAGTTAGGAGTATTACTATGCAATTTAGATGAAATTCACAGACTTCAAAGTTAACTCACTCGCTTTGCTCTCTTGTCTACTGGAGTCCAAGCGGGAAGGATTGAATGTGAAGCTTTCTCATTCTTGGGTAGAGATGATGGTTTCACCAATTGCTTTTGTCTCCTTTGTTCAATCGATTTTTTCGAACCACCAACCTTTTGGTACTTGTAATATTCAAGAATAGATGGGCTTTTCCTCTTGGTGGCATTTGATTTGTTCCTGGACGACCCAAGAGGAGGAGGAGATATGCCGGATGGAAGAGATTGCTGACGTGTCCTACTTTTTTCCTTGATTCTATTTAGGAACTCCACAGTCCAAGGCGACTCCCTTAGTGGTGTTTGACCAGAGCGAATGGCATCCCATAGAGGTGTCCCACCACAATGAGCACTCTCTTTTTCTTGCATTCGCTGGTTATAGGAATCTATTGCAGTTTTTTGTTGCATGCTGTCATGCAAGAGCCCCTTTTGGTGCATAGGAGAAAACTTGTGGATGTCAGAACAGTAGTCTGGAGCATTTTTATTTTTTCTCGTTGACTTATATTCATTAGTACTTTGACAAATCCAGACATCCAAGTCAGAGTCAATTTCAGCAGAAGTTGGGAAGTTAGCAAGGCCACTTGAACCAAATGATAGTTTTCTTGCGGTTCCAGACATACCTGTTGCCCAGTCCTTGTTCACATCATGAGGTGAGAAACTTAAAGAGTTCAACTCTGGAATTTCTTTTCTCAACATTGCAGCGAGATTAGTATCAATAACTTCACCTTTTAAATCCTCCTGCTGATTTCCAGATTTCTCTTTCCCAAGTCTATGAGATCTGTTCCTTGCAGCCATATGCAATATCTCTTCTACACCAAAATTCGTGTTGTGCTGAAGATATTTTGGTTTTTGACTCTCTTCTAATTTAGGAGGACCTTCAGTCATTCCAAATGCATAATTCCTCATCATATTTGCCTCCACTTTCTTCCTTTCACAAAAAAAATTATCATCAAAGGTTAAACCAGGTTTTCCACACTCATCAATTATCTCAGAATTTTCTGACATCCAAATATTGCGTGGGGCAGATGCTCTTGGAGGACTCAATCTAACATCTGGAAATAGTGTAGGGGACTCAAAATGGCATAATTCATTTTCATAGATGTTAAATTTGGGATGATCGTCAGTGCATTTCCTCTTCTTTGTTTCAGAGTTGCTTCTTGGTTGAATCCTACCAGGAACATATGATACTGATGAGGAGCTTTCAGTCATTCCAGATTTAGAATCCTCTCGCTCCCCATATTTACACAAAAGACCAAGTAAAGCAACACTTTCATGAGGAATTTTATGCTTCTGAACTGCATGAATCCTACAGTCATGTGACCATTCTAAAAAGTCAATTAGTGAGCTGCCAGAAGTCAATATGGCATGAGCTGAAAGAGGATTTATTGAAGGAAATGCAGTAAGAAAGGATTCTGCTAGACTTTCTGAGTCAGGCATTTTGGGATACCGGCCTCTGGTGAGCTTGATTACAGCTTCAATGCAGGATAGTATAATCTCATCTGTCATAACAGAAGAATAAGAACAAAAGATCTGCAAATCAATTCCCAGGCTAGCTGCAGCAGCATACAGCTTGTCTGATGATTCCATGACGCCAGCCAGGAAATGTCTTTCCCCCTCAAATACCTAATAAAACAAATAGAAAAGAACAATATGTTCAAATGCATTGTTAGACGCTATAACAGAATATTGCGTAAAAAGGCCCAACAATATATGAAACATATATAACAATTCACATCAGCCTTTTGATAATTTCGTAATATATAATAGAGAAGAACAGAACTAAATTGTAAGCTCTTAAATTGTTTTTGTGACTTGTCATTACAAGTGACTTATTCTTGTGAGACAGAATATAAGTACTTGAAATACAATGAGATATCATCTCTCACTGAAGTCTTTTGAGGTATAAGCAAACAAGGTCACCCACTAAACAGACAAAATATGCTCTTAAATAAGAGTATACTGTTTGATCGAAAGATTTGCATTACCTGTAATAATCCTGTATTTTACTTTCCTTTTATGATAGATGTGATGTGTTAAACTTTTACTAATGCTTGAACATTTTTGGCCTCCTCTTAAACTGGATTGAGCGTAGTTCACTACTTCAACTCATCGTTGCTTGAAGTTTGTTTAGTTAGTGAAGTGCGCAATGGCATTAAACAAAAAAGATGTGGTTAAAAATATGTGTATTGCTAGGTTTCATAACATTGCATAATAGCACCTACTGTAAATCTACTTCCCCCAACACTCAAAAGGAAAATATTTCACAAACAGAAAAGCTTGATGAGCACTGTTTATTTTTTCGGTCACAGAAAAGAAAAGTTTCAAAAAATTGACGAAAAAGTTAAGGAAAATTCAAGCAGGTTTTGAACCTAGAATTTGGGATGAAACACAATCTATGCTGCTATTTATCTGTCCCTTGCATGTTGGAAGCTCAGCTCAAAAATCAATTGATAAACATGTTCCAAACTTGTTTGGCTAGCTTCATATCCAAACCAATTTGTAACTCTTACAGAGTACAGATTTTAGCTCATGAAATCAACACTATAGTACAAATGTAAATAATGATAACATAAACACTTGCCAACATTTTATTCCTATAATCATAAGCTAAAACTTCAGACAAACAAGCTAATGTTCCAAGATGTTTATAGTTGGTTCCTTGTCAAGTTAGTGCAGTATTTATCCTCAACTCCATTCATTAATCAATCAGAAGAAAACTAAAACAAGCGGAACAGTGTCATCCAGATCACTTAAATGCTAAAGCCCTTCTTCTATTTTGTTGGAAGTGGCATTGGGGGAAGCCTAGCAAAGTCAAATGCATTTTTCATTATGAAAATCCAAACAAGTAACCTAATAAGCCATCAAGCAGCTAAAGGTGTATTTAGAGATGATGCCAACATCATAAGCCCTCCAACAAAAATCCTGCAGCCTACCTTGGCTCCAGACTTTGTACACTATCATAAAGACATTTGAAAAAGAAAGTATTTTCAACATCCTTGATACCTAGAAGAGTTAACTGGAACCAGCAGAAATAAAAGAAATAGTGCACTGAAAAGCTCATTTATATATGTACATATCTGGCATGTAATAAGCTACCTCTTAGTGCAATATGCAATTCATTGCTGATATACAAGCCCATTCTGATCAGATTGAGATGATTAATATGTTCATGATGCAAAATCCTATTTCATGGTACATATCCTTCATCTGACAAGATATGCAAAATGCCACATCCTATCAGTGTACAATTAACTTATTCTCCGACATCAAATCATGAATTCCAGCATACTGTCCAACAAACAGGTGTATTCTAACCCTAAATAGCAAATACTTAATGAAATGTATCTACACAAAGCAACAGTTTCCAGTGTTCCTAAAAGCATAGGTAGGATACTTACCAGAATGCAGCTGCTGAAAGCATAACTTAATGATGTTAAAATACTGGCTGCTATATTCTCAACATATAAGGATAGGCAAGAAAATGCCTCATCAGGAGCAGAAGATTTCTTTCTAATGTTCTTTAAGTCGTACCATGCAAGGCAATTTGCAGCATCAAGTACAACATCAACCGGTAGATTTAGGTCGCGCTCTACAACTTGTGCTCCCTCTTTCTCCAGTGCAAGAATCTTTTGGTATGTGCTTCTCCTGGAAATTACCATTTCCTTATCAAAATTTTTAGTGTTAACTACGACTATGTCAGGAAAGGAAGGTGCGTTTGTGGGGATCTCTTTTGATTCCATAGCCAATGAGGCAGAATGCAAAGGCTTCAGATAGCACTCTTGACCTCCAACTACAGCTTCAACTGGGACTTTGTTGTGGTTCTCCTCAAGAGGTACAAAATTCAGCAGGTCCTCCATCTTATTGTTGCTCTCATTCAACACCAGATTAACGTGAAGATGACCTTTCTGGCAATGAGATCAATATGAGAAGATAACTGTGTGAATCTACAATGTTTTTATGATATAATAGAATTACAATAATGAATTGCAAGGAGGTAGCATCCTG